AGTTCTTGGAGAATTCATCTTTGTGATTTGTAATGCCCTACAAGATTCATAAAGCAAAATTCAGTCTCTGATGTTACTGGGGCTTGATCTGTTAGTTGCTTTGAAAATTAGGGGCAAAAAGACTTAAATGGTTACCAGAAGCTGCCTAGAAACCAGTGGAGGGATTTGAGCATGGGGCTGATATGCTCACGTCCTAGACCATGGAGAACAGGCAGCTACACCCTGTACGACCCGGAATTTGTGAATGGACTTCACAGCATCAGAGAATAAAAGCAAATTACAGAAAATTGGAGATATATGAAGAGTACATGTTAAATATAGAAACCAAATCCAAACAAAATACTAAAAGTTCCTCTATTTTGCACTTTAAATGCAAATCCTACTATTGAACTGGAATATACCTCTATGTTTCAGATCAGAACCTAGTTAATGGCGAGTAGGTCTGAATGAATACTGCTGAGATACTTTTACTTCATTCCTTAAGAGAATTGTTGTAGTAAAGCCCTGATGTTAGAAATGGATAGTGTGACAAAGTTCCTCCTCTACCTTGGTGGGTCCTGCGCTTATTGGTGGATTTGCTCGCTTCACAGATTCACCCTCTGGGTCAGGAAACAGTCCAGAGACCTTCCCCTCTGGTAGAAGCTATAGTCCAGGTCAATTCCTCCTGTGTTTGATCAGGAGTTGGGAGGTATGGGGGGAACCCAGGCCTGCCCTCTACTCGGGGTTCCAGCCCAGGGCCCTGTGGACTGCAACTGTTTAGAGTGCCTCCTGGTACAGTTGCACGACACCTACAACTCCCTGGGCTACTTCCCCATGACCTCCTCCCAACACCTTTTTTGTCCTCACCACCGGACCTTCCTCCTGATGTCTGATAACGCTTGTACTTCTCAGTCCTCCAGCAGTACGCCTACTCACTCTCAGCTTCTTGCACACCTCTTGCTCCCAGTTCCTCACACACATGTCCTCTCCCTGGCTCCCCCTGGCTTAACTGGAGTGAGCCCTTTTATAGCATCAGAGGGGCCTTAATTAGAGTCAGGTGCTTAACTGCCTCACCTGACTCTTAGCAGGTTAATTGGAGTCAGGTGGTCTATTAGCCTGGAGCAGCCCCTGCTCTGGTCACTCAGGGAACAGAAAACTACTTAGCATGGCCAGTATATCTCCCTTCTGCTACTCTGCTGTTCCCAACTGGTCTGGGTCTATCACAATAGATTACCACAGCCACCACTTACACCTGGTCAAATGGAAATGGACATTGATGGGTACTGCAGTATGGAAGCTATCTACTATGGGGGCAGGGTAAGAAAGACCCCAAGGCTGTGGGCCAATTTAACAAGAAGAGGGTATCTGCCTCAATAATTTGAGCTGTTACGAAGGAGAGTTTCTTAGTAGACTTAGAGCTGAGTGTTAACCACATATGGTGGCATTTCCAATCCAGACCACCACAAGCTCTCCCAGGTCCCTGATTTGTTGGGGGCTGAAGAAAGTGGACAACCCCTTAGAAGATGGTCAATTTTGTAATCAATTCAATTTGAAAGAGATTAAAAGCAAAGTAACTTTTATTGTATAAAATCTAGGACTACCGAAAGAGATTCTCCATTGCTCATTCCATAAGAGAACACCTGAGATTAAGGAGTGGGGAGGAATGGAGAAAATGCAACTGGAAGATACAGAAAAGCATCAGTCTATTGGAAATAAGGATCAACAGGAAACATGCACACTTATTAAGTTTTATTAGCAGTGACTATTTAGTGCAATACATTTACTCACATAGCAGCTGTTCAGGTCCAACACATACCATTTATTTTAAGAATTAATAAGAGCACAAGTAACCCTCTAGTGTAGTGCATATGCACATGGGCACCATGCTGATGCACATGCTCTGTCAATTGCTAGAGTACGTACACATACCTAATTTGCACTGAAGTTGCAAAATTGGAGAAAATAGTTTTAACAAGATTTCAGTTTTAAGGTGACCAGAGTAACAAAATCAAATAAAGATTTGAGAAGAACAGTTTTGTCTCTGCAGTACTGTGCCCCTTAATTTTGTAAGTTTAGGCAAGAGGGTGTACTTTTGTAGTTAAAAATTCAACCCCCTCATGCATGCCTCGTCCTTTCCTTTCTTATCCTCCTCATTCCCTTTCGCTTGACAGTTTATATTTAAAAATTTACATTGCAAGGTACACATTTAATTATGTATTGAACAGGTAACATCAGCACTGAATTGTTTAGTTATCCTATTAGAGGCTTCCAAGCATTAAAATCTTTTGTATTGTACACTCAAGTACTAGGCAGACTAAGAGAAATGTTGACCAAAAAGTAAAAAAATTGAAACCTTTGGGATTTAGGAATATGCAATCAATTTGGTTCCCCCCCAAATTGAATTATAATACAAGGTGACTAAAATAAATGGAGTACTGCTGATTGGTCAAATTAATAGTTTTATTTCCATCTGTTAAAGAATTATTTGCCTACCAGTAGAGTCTAAAGTAGATCTGACATACAGACATGAATACAAATAAATACAGGAAAATTTGAACTATAGACAATGACAAGTGAAAAACATACATTTACATAATCAAAAAAATCTTTATTATCTATCAGTTCTTGCAAATGTCATGAGCGACACTGAGCCACTGCCTTTACTGGAAATTAAAATATAGCTATTTCAAGTTTTTTAAAATTATAATGCAACTTTAACATTTGCCATTTTGATATTGAAAGTTTAAAATTTGTTTTCAAGTACACAAAATGTGGCACTTAATAGGGATCACAAAAGTTAAAAAAAACTTTTGTTGTTGAATATTCTACAGTTTGTTGTATCTAAAGTCCAAGTAGGTTTATATATTGATATGCAAGCTATAAAGAGATATTTACATGGTGGAAACTGTGCAAAAACACAATTCAAACTAAGGCTAGTACTCAAATTAAAGATGTAGGGACATGCTACTCAACCACAACCCCAGACTTAATCCCTTACATTTATATGCTCTTATTGCCTTCCCTGTACACAGTAATTTAAGTATGATGGCTCAGATATGAGAGCCATTTACCTTAATTTATTTAGAAACTATTGGGAGGTTTTAATAGTCAAGTGTATGTGGCCCTAAATTACTAGACAGCGTCATGGTGGGCTGCTTTTTCTGCATGTGACAGATGCTTCTGAACAATTTTAAGAGAATAAAGTTCTTGCTCAGTTTGTTTTCCAAGACATGCAACAAAACCAAAAAACAAAAAAACCCCACAGGTTTTTCTATACACAAAAGATACAGAAATTAATTGCACGGTCATGAAAATATTTTAGGAAAGTCTTCATTCAGCACTAGGTTTAAATAATTCAGTGCAAGTGAGAGCAATTACTGGCGATTATATCCTTTTAATATGTAGAGAGTATTGCCAGGGTGCATAGGTTGCAGTACAGCAGGCTTTTCCATGTAACACAAACTCTGATTATATAAGGATGAGAGTAGTGCAAGTATTACATGTCTCCAGGGTAAGTCACCATACTGCTACATAAAGACCATATTCTGCACACTGAAGATTCTACAAAACATTGTGTGGTCTTGGATAGACACCTCTTCAACGTTTAAATGGCTAATTAGAGCAGCTTCTTTAATTTAAAACAATCCATTCTCCCACTGATGGAGTAGTAAGATAATCTTACTTATTATCTGTGTTAATTACATACCTCTTGAAATTCTGTTTTCGGAAGTCTTGGGGGGAGGGGTAAAAAGAAAAATCTGAAAAATTTATTCTAAACAGTCTTCGAAGTAGCTGGCACTTTATTTTTGTTCATGTTTCACAGACTAACCTCTAGTCTTAAAGATGCCTTGATAGATATTGTTATAATATTGTATTGTATTGTGGAACAAAACATTGGCCCAAGTGTCAGGTATGTACAGAGATCATAGAAAACTGATGTTAACATCTTGCCCACATATAGAAGTATTACAGTTAAATGCATCAATTCACCCAGGCACCATCTCTCCTTGTAATTTTGTGCTGAAATAAAAATTCTATTGTATAGCACTCAGCAGTCAGTCCTGAAAATAAATGGTAAACTGGCTAATGGTGCAGAGTCAGATGCAGCTTTTTGACACAACATGCACCTGACCAAAAACATGTATAGCTCTTTTTAAAATAAATAAAAGCTTTATTGCACATTTTAATCCTCAGGACAATGAGTGACCAATTAGACTGCACTCTTTCAGCATTCCTACCCCAACATCATTAATACCAAGCCAGTGATTGAAGCCTAAATTACATATATTTAAGATTAAACATATCAGTGTACTGTTAGCATTGTATATGTCTAAAACCTGTCAGTATAGAAGCAGAATACACAGCAAAGTGAATGTACTGAACTTTAAACATTACACTAGGTATGCTTTAGAGAGGACCAAGATTTGTCTAGTCTGGTATTCAGTTGAGAATAAGGAAAACCTTTTTATAAATAGCATGCCCAGAGAAAAGCATTTATTTACTGCTCAGCTATGATGGTAGGGAAGCACTGAACAGTATTAAAGCAAGAAGTCATCTCACCACAGATTAGGAAACACTTCAATACTGCGATTCAAATCAAGTAATTCTTGGGCAGTTAAGATATACTGGAAATGAAATACTTTCATCATGTGAAAGTTGTAATTTGGCGATCTACTCTAGACCTCATAGAGCCCATAAGTATAGGTCTGCAAGACTTCCAGTTAAGGAAAGGTTAGTGGCTGGCTAACAGCATATTAGTTCAATGCATTACCCTGGTATACAATTTAATATTACATTAAGTTTTTGCCTGTCACACAACTCATTCTGTTTGGACAAACTGCACTGCAGGTAAAACTACATGCTTCAGCAGCAGAGTGCTCTCCAGTAATTTGCTGCCTGCCACCTGCATCATGATACGATTAAAATGAAAGCATTTATTCATACTGTAGGCAATGTAACTTATTTATCCGGGGGGCGGAGGGGAAGGGAGCACGAGTAATTACAAGCATTTAAGAAATATATTAAAAATAAAAATCCAGAACTCATGTTCAAGCACTTCAAAAGAAGTAGAGGGAAACAGAACATCAGCTGCTTCATTGGTGACACATACCGACCTGTGTTTGCAGACCTTCAAGAACTTTTAACACGAACAAGCTACTTTTGACAGTATGACTGGACCATAAGAAAGCGGTTTAGATATGTACAAGTTAATTCTCCAAAAATCCATTTTACTAGAATTGGGTGGGCATACAACCTGTTGCTTCTTTAATCTTCAAGGCATCACAAATGCATGACATTTTCATCAAGATCCAGTTGAGGCTGTCCTGAGAAGAATTCAAGTGCTTATATATAAATTGGATGGTACTGTTTGTGATTGAGTTTTTTCCTACAAGTTGGGCAAGAGTTAGCATTTCTAAGGGAGTCACGGAGGCACTGACTACAGAAGACATGGCCACATTTGGTTGACACGATAAGTCGTCCACTTTGTACAATCTGAAAGAGAAGAAACTATAAAGCTGAAGTCTATGAGAAAGGCTTTGCACAAGAGCAATATTGGATTACATAACACAACTGTGTAAGAGCAAATCTTTGCAATCCATAATATTCGGTGACTTTAGCGCTGTTTATTCAAGACTTAACATGGAAACATGTATTGTCATCAGCTGGCTCTTAACAAATATACTGCCAGATATGATGTTTTTATGATATATGGCTCAACGTATCAGATTTCAATTACCATTTAAATACTTGCAAAATTTATCAATTCAGAGTCTTAGTCACTAGGAGCAGTCAGTGAGGTGACAAACATGCTACTAAACAACAGTACAACTTGAGAATGGAAGAGTCTACTAATGCAGGTAGTAAAGGAATATTAGAAACTGAAATATGCTACATTATCATAATTACTTTATTCTTCTATTAAGAAAAAACGGAATATCTAAAAAAAGCTCCTGGAGAAGATGCTATCACCCTTATGCACTGACTTAAAAACTAAGATTTTCTCTAATGTGTACAATAGGTTGACTCTCCAAATACAACTAGCTAACAAGTGTAGTGATTCTGTACCTCACATTTTAATTCTTCCTTCAGTGGAACAAAAAAAATATTGTAGACAAGGTGTAGATTCTTACCTCTGAGTATCCATCCATGCAAATTGGACAACTAACGGTACCTGAAGGCCTAAAAAACCCCCAAAACAATATGTTAGTTCTATTATGCACTGGAAACTTCAGACAATAATATCTGGTTATTTTGTGTCCTTGTGTTTGCCTCAAGCAAGAACCTCTTCTCCTCAAGAAACTAGGCTTTAGGCCAACTTCTATTATACTGAATCAAATGCTCACCTGGGGCATGCTCATGTTAGACTCTCAATTTGTTACATTAATGAGATTAGGGTCTCCTACACCTCATAGGAGAAGGCCCTTATTTTCATTCATCCTTTTCATGTTTACCATTTCTTCCCCCTCATCCCCACTGTAATTGTCCTAATAACAAAGAAGTAACTTTTGAAAATAGTGGTAATTTACAGCACTGTACAGGTTACACGTAGCATATAGAAGGGCAAGGCAGTCTCCAGAAGCTTTTTGGAACAGAGTTCACAATTCTAGAACTAGCTGTTCCTTGCAGAAGCACATTGTAACAGGTTAACTAAACTAGTCCAAGTTCTTTCATTTTAGAACAGCATGCAAACATTTCAACTCCAAATCCCTCTCCTGGCTGAGGCTCATCACATCATCTCATATACCAAGCAACAAAACCACATAAACTATTAGATAAGAAGTAAATAAGCAAAGAGAAAGGGGCTGGAGGGAGGATGGGCGCTCATGAACTTACTGAGTATGAATTGAGTGATCATGGAGAGCACAATGAAGCCTGCTTGAAAATTTTATTTATTGTTTATTTTAAGCTCTGTTGAGTTTCCCTTTAACATTCTCCACTGCAGATATTTTCACCAGTGGCTGGACTGCTGAAGTTGATGGCAGTGATAACATGCTAGAATACAGGCACATATTGGAGTGTAACACCACTCAAGGTGGATAAAAATGGATTTTAAAAAATGGATTTTTTAAAATTTAAACACTGGTATATTTTTAAAAACAAACCTATTTAAAATTAAATTTGAAATGAATACAACCTATGTTAAGGCCTAAACTTCTTAGAATCATTTATATTAAATGCAAAAATTAATATTAAGCAGTACGTTTCTTGCCAAGTTTTAAAGGAAGTTAACCACTGCACTGGTGGAAGCTACTGGCTAAACATCTGAAATCAGTGTTTGTTGAAGTGCTAAGCCAGCTTTTGACAGCACTTAGTCTCTCTGCACTTGCAGAAGAGGTTGTTTTTGTCATTTCAGTTTATTCAACTAGTTCACTTTAGTGACTAATTCATTCAAAGTTCAGAAAGCAATTGGGAGTGGTAAGAGCAGGAAATCTTGTTTTCTTCTTCCAATCTTCGAATAAAAAGTGGGTGTGAGAGGAGGCTTCTACTAGTTCTAAAAAAAAAAATAAAAAAAAATAAAATCTTCCAGGACATGGTGACCAGAAACAATCCATTCACTTCATCAACTACAGACACATACTTCCCCTTTGTTTAAATAAACGTTTCTCTTATGTCATGTAATTTAACAAACATTTAAAATGCTGTTTTTGTGCATTCTGAATTGTGTTTGAATTTCCATTCAGAGATGGACACAAATCACAAGTTAAACCACCTAGTAAATTAGGCATCATTCACCATTTTCTAACAATAAAAAAAATGTAAAAATAGAGAATCTGTATAAAAGTATCGTTACGCTATAATTACTTAAATAAACACGCATACAGTATTTCCTCTGGGTAAGCAAAAAGAAACACCAAATTTAGTGTCAAGGCTATATTTCATTTCAAATAATATTTTAATGGTTACCAACTAATGAGAAAAAAAGCAAGCACAAAGTACAAGTGCAAAACACAATTACAATAGATTTAAAATCAAACCTTCCTACTCGCTGATATAAATCACTGATTTTAATCATGATTCATATCAATCCATCCTGACCACACTCCAGGACCATTTATGTCATTCGTACCCAACTTCATAGAAGATTGATAGCTCTAGGGATGGCAGAACACAGAAGCATTTAGATGTGCACTCTCATGTCCATTATATTTAGCAATTTCAGATCTACACTTAGACACAAGATGGTCGGTTTCAAGTAAGCCATATTATTGTCTTGCATAGGAGATTTTTAAAAAGTGATCCAAAATAAACTGGGAAAATAAGTTAAAATAAAAGATGGACAATTTCTGATTAACACCAATATTCTGTCCTAGGAAGGGATTTCCCCCTACGCTACTGACCCCGTATATTTCTACAGCAGTGCATAGGGCTTTAGAAGTGCATCATGTGGGGTAGGAGGGAATTGTCCAGGCACAGGCACTATCTACAACAACCACAGGCTGCCCTACTCAGCCTCCCAGCAAGTCCCAGAAAAGGGGCTATGGCAGGGGCAGGAGGAGGAATGGCAGGGATGGGGTGATGGAGTTCCCAGGGCAAAAGTAGTATGCTGCGCCTTTTGCAAGTTATTCTCATCACAATTCATCTTGCTTTATATATGCAAGTCCTCAGCCACCAAAGTGTATATGGCTATAAGCTACCTGAGAGGTAGGTAGAATAGTGGATTTGTATATTAGCATTTAAACTCTATGACTCAAGACAAAAGTTAGTTTCATGGTCTTATTCCATTAAGCAATGATTAAGCTATCTACTATCCCAAATAAGGTAAACCCAAATAATGTCTGGTGACCAACAGATTCCAGTAGTTGGGGGAGCCAGATTTTTAGGTCAGAAGTGACCTTTTGGCATTTTTAAAAGTTTGCACAATGGTTACTTGCAGCCAGTGTAGTTTCCCCCTTGCTTTAGTGAGCACTGAATTCACATCACACACAAAGTTACATGCTGATCCTCAAAGTTTGAATCACTTCATTGGCAGTGTTCCGACACATCTAACACTATCATTCCTTCAGGGTTAATTTGAGGGGGCTGCCCAATCAGCTTCCTGCCTAATAATTGTACCACTTGAGGAGCTCAGACCTATTATGTGCTGCCTGAGCTATTGCTTTCAAACAGAGTTTTTAGACTTCAAGCTATTTTATGCCTCTTTTCAGCCTCTGACCCACAGCTTCCACCTGCAGATCTCTGTGCCAGAGAAGAAGTGTTAAAAGCAGTAATATGCAGATTAGATATTTATATAGGTGAGGGGAAAGGAAGAAATGTGTAATACAGAATTGAAGACTACACTAGATTTAGTAGAATAACTGAATGCTGGAATATTCCTTCTACATGAAAACGTTGTGCCTGAATTTGGGGACTGGGAGTTTCTAGAATTTGAAGTCCACAACATCCTACCTGGCAAGTTTAGTGAAGAGAGCTCTCAGAGAAAAAAGTTGAAAGGTTTTCCCCAAAAGTAGTTTTCAAAGTCAGAGGGATCCCTAGAGAGAGAGGTCACATGAAGATGGCTAGCTAGCTCAATTATAAAAAAAAAAAAATATTAAATGTGTCTCTGTAGGTTTTAAATTTAGAACGATCAGGGGAAGACAAGAGAGGGCTGCTTAATCTTGAAATCATCTGGCACCCTCATTCTCCTCTTACCCCTTCTTTTGGGAATCAGTAGGCATTAGTTCTTGAAGTGACTAAAATTTGAAAAGCTCTGCAGGATGAAGGATCCTTTTTGCATTTGTGGACATGGAAAGAAAGATTTATTTTCAAATAATATAATTACACTATCACAGGCTTTCCATATTTCTATTATACACTGAAGTTTGTATTATAATCTTGGCATATTCTAATCAAAGGAGGAAAGTGACTACAGCTAAACTGTATTTCATTAATTATTGAACATTAGCTTAATTCAGCAATTCAAATTGGGATTCTGATGGTAGACTGATGACTAGATTCAGTCTCAGGGCTGTAATTACATCACATGATTCTAGTGATAAACTATGTGTACCCTTTGGGAACATATTCCTTGTTTTACCCCAAGGTAAATGTATAGGTAATCATTGTATGAATTATGCTTGTACATGGGTACTTAAAGAACTAGCTGAAGCAATGTCATGGAGAATGGGCAAGGTCCCAGAAGGTGGGAGAAGGAAAATATAGTATCTACCTTAAAAAAAAAAAAAAAGGACCTGAGAAGTTATAGCCCAGTCAGCCTAACCTCGGTATTTGGAAAGATACTGGAACAAAGGAAACAATTTATAAACACCCGGAGGATAATAGGGTTATAAGAATAGCCAGCATGGATTTGTCAAACACAAATCATGCCAAACCAACCTATTTTCCTTCTATGACAGGTCTAGTGGATATGAGGAAGCATTTTAAGTGACGCATCTTGATATTCGTAAGGCTTTTGTTACAGTCCCACATGACACTCTCATAAGCAAACTAGAGAAATGTGATCTATGTGAAATTATTATAAGGTGGGTGTACAATGGCTGAAAGACCATACTCAGTAGTTATCAATAGTTTGCTGTCAGACTAGGAGGGTGTATCTAGTGGGGTTAGTCTTGAGAGCAGAACTATTCAATATTTTCATTAATGACTTGGATAATGGAGTGGAGAGTATACTTATAAAATTTGCGGATGATGCCAAGCTGGGAGGGGTTGCAAGCACTTGGGAGAACAGGATTAGCGGGCAAAATGACCGTGACAAATCGAACAACTAGTCTGAAATCAACATAATGAAATTCAATAAAGATATGAACCAAATACTACAATTAGGAAGGAGAAATCAAACGCACAGCTACAAAATGGGGAATAACTGGCTACATGGTAGTACTACAGAAAAGGTCTGGGGCTTATAGTGGATTACAAATTGAATGAGCAACAATGTGATGCAGTTGAAAAAAGGCTAATATTCTGGGTTGTATTAACAGAACTGTTATAGGTAAGACATGGGATGCAACTGTCCTACTCTATTCAGCACAGCTGAGGCCTAAAATGGGAGTACTGTATCTAGTTTTGGCCACCGTACTTGACAACGATGAGGAGAAATTGGAGAGAGTTCAGAGGAGAGCTATAAAAATGATAAAAGGTTTAGAAGAAAAATCTTGGTGGGTATTCTCACTTCCTTTAGGACACCAGTGAAAATAGTTACCTACCTCACTGTGGTCCTTGAGCTTTGTATGAAAGAACAATGCTGTAAGTTACAATTTGTGGCTTTTGATTAGCATTTCCTCTTGCCACGTCTCTGAACTGTGTCTTCAGTTGACTTTTAATCCAAAAAATAAACCAGATATCGTCTCAATATTTAAATATATTGTTCCATTTTTCCGTATTTCAATAGCAGCTTTAATATTCCCATTCTCTCATAAAAGGAGAAAATATGAAGCTTTAGAATAGGTTAACAGAGTCAAAAAGGAGATTCTAAGCCACATACAGGATGCCACTTCACTCCTCCTTTTCAGTATGACAAAGTTTTTGATTTTTTTTACATATAAATATTACATTTTACATGTCAACAGGAAGTAGCATAGGGTACATACCTTGAACTTGCAGTTTCATCCTCCAGTGTTTCTAAATCTCCAGACACCTTGTTTGTTACGTATACATCATTATCTCTTGATTCATCTTCATCATCACTACTTAATACACAGCTGTCAGATTGCCGTTGGCTTCTTAACCCAAGATTTCTTCGTTGTCGTTGATTCTCTACAATTTAATTTTGTTAAATTAGGTGTATTTCCAGGAATTTAACACGTTATTTCTGCAATGTATTAAATATGCACTGTTATATGACTATTTAAATGGACAAATCTGTATTTAGTTTAACTATTTAAAAGCAAGTTTACTTGTGAAACTTAACACTTCCAACTACCCCAAAAAATACAGAATTGTATATTAAAACAGAATTTAGCCTAATTGCTAATTTGCTCTTATTCCCACTAGAAGAACAGATATGACTCTTGAGCCTTTTCTACATCGGTAGATTTACCTTCACAATTATACCAGCACTAATGTAGTTATACCAATGTATTATGCAGCTAAATTTCCACATATAGACAAGTCCTTAGATATGGCATCCTGTCACACACGTGAGCAGTTACTGTAAATAAATTAAAGTGTTCTGGGGGGAAGAGGCAGGGGCTAACTTTACAACTATCACAGCAAAGTAAGGGATAAGTAATAAAAGAGCTTGGATAGCAGCATGCAGGCAGCTTTTTAAAAAATAGGATAACAAATTAGGAGTGGATGATAACCTTGCCAATTATATAAACTGCCTAAATCTAGGCTATTGACTCCAGTATTCAGTTGCAGCTCTTAAGGATTATCCATATGCACCACAGAGCCTTATTCATGTTACAGAGTTTTTTGCTGGTAATGATGTTGCCTAATGCTTTCCTTTATAGATCTTATTTTCAGTTGTTTATATTGCCAAACTAACCATTTGGGCTGAATTTCCCCATTCCATGCATCTGATTCTGGATGAATATTTTAGAAAATTTCACCAAAACAGTTTGACTATTTCTGAGAACCAGTTAGGGAACAGTATATCTTAAAGATTTAAAAAAAATTTCTTACACAGTTTCACTGAGAAACTCTATTGCCTTCATGCTTTGGATCAGGGTACTGATATTTCACTGTGGGAGGGTGTGTGTGTGTGTTTGGTCACTGGTGTCAGCAATTTGGCTTTTGCAGCTCAATGAAAAAAATACACCCAAGTTTGTCCAATTTATAAACTTCTGAAAAAGTCTAACAAGCTTCTGCTAAGCATGTACAGACAGAGTTGGTACTGGAACTCTCAGAAGTTTCCATTTAAACTAACCATACTTCATGACTAAGGCTTATGAGTTTGTTACGGATTCCATGACCTCCGTGACTTCTGCAGCAACAGATGCAGCTGGCCCGGGGCTGTCTGAGCAGCTCAGGCAGCCCCCGGGCCAGCCACACCAGCCGCTACTGGGGCAGTCTCAGGCCACTGTGACACACTCTTCTTCTTCTTCCCCCCCCCCCGGCAGCAGGAGTTTCAATGTGAGAAGGGGCTCAGGAATGTGGGATGAGCCATAGGAGGGGGTGAGGGCTCTGGGCAGCACTTACCTTGGGGACCTCCCCAGAAGCGACGACATATCCCTCCCTCAGCTCCTAGCTCCGCATGCTGCGTCCACCCACATGCACCGTCCCCACAGCTCCCATTGGTCATGGTTCCCGGCCAATGGGAGCTGTGGAGCTGGCACTTGGGGAAGGGGCAGCACACGGAGCTAGGAGAGGGACATGTCGCTGTTTCTGGGGAGCCGCAAGGAGCCGGGTAGGGAGTCTGCCATCCCCATCAACCCCCACCCCCACCAGGGGTCCCGCCTGCTCCCCAACACACCCCCACAGCACCCCCTGGGTCACCCCAGGAGCACCCATGGCACACCCTAGGCTGCCCCCTGCCCCCAAGATTTAGTCAGGGGTATATGGTACAAGTCATGAACAGGTCATGGGCCATGAATTTTTGTTTACTGCCCATGACCTCTCCATGACTTGTACTAAAAATACCCGTGACTAAAATGTAGGCTTCTTCATGATCACACAGCTCAAATGTGCTGACGACTTCCCATAAAGCCATCTGCAGTTCTCAGTTGCAAAATTCTGTATTGTGGATCTAAAGGGTCCTATCCTGCTAATGAGGCAGTTAGGGACCATACTGGTCCCTAAAAATGGAATTTTCTTGTTTGCGTTTTAAAATGTAGAAAATGATATAAAAACATGTCAAAAGAATAACAATGTTACAAAGTCAAGTGCTCAATAGTTAGGAAATGCCAGAATAAAGGTGTAACCTTAATTCGGTCCCCTTCTGTGCACGCATTATGATGCAGTCTTTATTATGATCACACGCTTTTTCCATAGGATGTCTGCCTCAGTCAGTGCACAGGAAAGACTGTGCTCAACAGAATGAGCAGCTATTCAATATTTATTTTTACATGCATCATAAACACATCTTATTTATGACCCCCCCTTCAGATCTTGCCCTAGATACAAAATGCTAAATTTCGTCATGGCCTTTTTCCATGACGCTCATCACTGTAGTATCTGTGTACTTCACAAATGTTAATGAATTTGTCTTCACCACAC